GGGAGGGCGGGGAAGAGGGCGACCACGTGCCTGCTGGTCGTTGTCCATGTAGTCCACCTCCGCACGCACGCCCGCCCGGTCGAAGGAAGCGTCTGCCGACAATCCGCTGCGTCCCGGATTGGTTGCCGGGGCCCGGTCTGGGGTCCACGCAGCGAGGGAGGTGCGGCTGACTCGAAGGCTCGGGCGTGGGGCCAGGGGGAGGAAAGCGGAGGCTGGAGGAGATAATTGCAAAGGAAGGGGAAGAGGAAGGGAGCCAACGTATGCATGTGAGGAATGGGATAAATGTGGGCGGATATAAAATCGGGTGGGGGGAGCATGCATTTCACGGAAGGTATATGTGTGTCAGAGAGCGAGGTGCCTGTACACGACGCAGGACGAAGGGCAACTCGTCCACCCGGGGATGTGAAATGACACACAGGACACGGGACCAATTGTCGGGCATATGCACAAGCCATGCACTTCTTTTGCAGGGTTTGCGTTGTCAAGTCCGTCTTTATCGAATTCACAGCCCGCCAGCAATCCTCACGCTCCCGCATGATCTGCTCGAGCCTCCTTTCCACCTTGTCCCCTTCCTTGACTCACCAAGCGATATCGAGGCCGCGGCCGTGGTCAATGCAAGAAAAAGCTTCATGATTGTGTGCCTGCTTTTCAAAGATGAGAGGGCTTCACGGTGAAACAAAGAAGATGCATAAAACACATGGACGGCACGGGGGGGGACATGCACTTGAAGATCTCGAGCTTCCTCTTGCGGACGTCCTGTTTATCAAACAGTAAAGCTGTCACATTGAACCATCAAATGACGTGTACCGACCCATTCAAGCTCCGAAAAAAATAGTGACGCTGTACTCAGCAACCGCGAGGAAGTCTCCCACCCTCCGATACTTCCACAACGTGCTTTTTCAACGCCTAGATCATGGCTTCAGCTTGGGAGGCAGCGGACGGCGGCCGGTCCATGCTGCGAAGGAGAAAAATTGCGCGAAAACCTCATACTGCCAGGTGGAAAATAGCGCGAAACCCTCTCCGTGCCGATCCTTACGTCCCCAATTTCGCAAGGGAAAATCGTGGCCCGACTGGAAATCGTGGCACAGGTGCTTTTATGAGAGATATAGTCAACCCAAGAAATGGTGCGAGGTCATTGCTCTTTGCTGATACAATGATGGAGGCAGTGCATGACAGGATGTCGATTTCGTATCCCCGTCTTTCCCCTTCCCGTAGCCGCTTCTGTATGGGGTTAGTGTTATTTGCATACAAGCATCCATTGCCGTGGCGGGCAAGTCACTGTGATCTATTTCCAATTAAACCGGATATATGAGGCGTATGCTCGCCTTATGGGCTTGCGATGGAGGGCTCAAAGGGCATCAGTGGTCAGTGACACTGACAAAACAGAGAGACAAAGCAAAATCAACAAATTTTCACGTTGGAGAGGAAAGAAACTCAGTGCAAACATATGCTCAGGTCAACATCTCGCTAAAAAGTTGAAACTTTCTTTAATTCTGCAGGTGATTCACGATTCTGTGCCACGGCTTAGTCTTACTTACATACCTTGAACCTCTCTTCGATGCCCGTCCGTCCAAAATTTGTCACATTTGCCTCTTTCCACTTCAACGATCCACCCGTTGAGGTGACGACCCTTTTCATCTTGATCCGCATCCAGCATTTTTGAGTTATGTCATCCCCATGTTGGTTCTCAATTATTTCCCGGTGGAGGCATAACCCCTCCCTCCGACCCGCTCTGTTGCGATTGAAACTCCGCGAACCTGAAACCTGCCCTCGACGTCAGCTTGAGATATTTCTCCGCGCACTTCGAAACGCAAGACAATTCGGTGTCGTCCATTTTCTTGGAACGGAAGCGCTGAGATGGCAGGGGAATGAAAGGAAAGAAGAAGTGGGGTTCAGCGGCTCGAGAGACGAAGACCCGCACACAGAGACTTTATTTGAGACCACACCTCATGCGACCACCCGTTTGCAAAGCGTTCATATCAGGAACTCATTTGAGGGGCGCATAGCGCAGCACAAATAAAAGCCTGGAAAAAGGAGGCCATTCCACGCAGGACATCATACAGAACAGCACCGAGGAGCAAAGAAAAAGAAGCAGACTTTGCTGGTACCAGGCGCAACTAAGCATGTTGTTCCAACGCACCGTGACGCATTCCTTGAAACAGCGTTCTACCAGCCGATTGTACATCCTGTTATTTGATTTATGCACATTTGTAAGGGATGCCTGATATGTCATCCATTCTCGTACCTGGCGTACCCTGCTCTCTGTTTTCTTGCACCCTGTTACCCCCTCTTGAACCTCCCTCCTCCCCGTCAACACTTACAGCAAAGAGTCCTTGACCTGCAACTCCTCCAACGTGCGCATAAACTCTTGACGTTGATGAGGCGGTATGTTTTGGATGGGGTTCATGGTGTCACCCGTAGATTTTAACTTCAGAACCTGGTGGCAGCACGACACACGCTAAGCAGGAAAGGTGGGAGGGCACAAACCAAGCAAAAAGGTTTGTAAAACCCCAAGACCCTGCACCTGAAAAACGGGGGGAGATCTGATGGGAAACTAGGGTATTTATGGACAGGGAACATTTCTTATGCATGGTGGCGGCTGTCTGCAGTGCTTGACGCCAAGTTTCAGACAGCAGCTTTCCTGCCCGGCCCTTGTGGCCAGCGTCACGTCCATGCCAAACATGTGCAAAATTGACCAGTGTCTTCTTCCAACACGCACACACGTCACGGTCGTCCTCCCAACATCCCGTCTTGCGACCGACACCCGTGACGGTCGGTTCCGCCCGTGCCCACGGCTTTACTGGTGTTGGTGAGCAAAATCGCTTTTCATGATCTTTGGCGCCGAGGCCGCCCCGGCGTGGGGCAAGATATGCATCTAGGCAGCGCGCGCGGGGAATGTAATGCCTTTTGCAGGCAAATGCATGGATGCCGTGTCTTGCCCGCCGAAACGTGTTCGTGGTGGTGGCGAAACACACACTTGTCGGGCGTGCAGGGTGGAAGACGAATGGTATCGTGTAGATTCTGCCTATTCGAATTGGGAAGGCAGAAGGACTGTGGCGAGGCAATATGGCGCGTCGCGTTCCCGATCTCAGACCTCTTCATCAATTTATGCCTCCCTCATTCCAGGTACTTCCCAAGGTATACGGATACTGCGTGGTCGAGCAGACAAAATTCTGCCGTCTTGACAGTTGGGAGACCCTCGCATCCGAAGTGGTTACGGCAGGGTAGCTTTTCGTCTCGTGTACCTCCTCCCTCCACTGCGCCTTTTTTCCAGGCAACTGCAGATTTTCCTGTATTTTGGCAACTGTCAGCACGCTGCGATAATAATCCTTGGCCAGTGGAGAAACCACAAAGTTAACACCATTCCTTTTGCTGCGCGATTCTTAGCATGTCCTTTCTGCCTGTTCCACTCGCTTCCCTGTGGGCGGGAACGCAAGAAGGCCTGCAAAGTCTAGCGGGCACAGCACAGAGCCAGGACTGGGCGCACCTTGCAGAATACCTGATGCTGCCAGTCTCCAAATACCTGTGGTTGTTCCCCGACAACGTGAAGAGTGGAGTGGCCCTCACCGCCGCCCAGCAGGGAGACAGGTAAACGGAAGGCATGAAGGATCCGTTGAATCATGTGATGGGGAAGGAAGGGGATGCAGTCGAGGTCAAGACCTCTGTGCCAAGCGCACAGGGTCTCCGTCCTGGCAGTGGACTGGAAGGGGTTCGAAAGGCCTGGGGGAGCGACAGCCTGGTCGGCGTCTGAACACCCCGGTCAGCCACCCTTTCACCGTGCCCTCCCTCCCTCCCTCTCTCCCTCCCTGCTTCCCTCCTTCGGTGAACCAGGCTTTTCCCATCCTCGCATCACTTGGTCTACGGGGTGTGGGTGGCTGTGGTCCTATGTTTTTTGCGGGCAGTTTTGGACCGG